CCAAGTTTGAAAGTTGCCTGGCTGTGGCCTGTGCCTCCCGAGTCCACCTTATTGCCCTGCCTGCAGTCTCCTAGAGGCCCTCTTGGCCCCTTTACCACCTGTACCTGAATCAGCCACTGACCCCCGACCCTGTCCTAGTAGGCTGGTCTCTAGGAGAGGGTTCTTTCTCTCGTCAGTCCCGAGGCTGGATCGCATGCACAGAGAAGGCACGGGGCCGAGAGGCTGTTGCGTAGACTCTTGAGATGCAGAGGGGCCAGACTCCCTGGAGGGCTGACTTTTGCAGGGGGGCAGGTGGAAGCCTTCAGGAGGAGCCGCTGTTCATCAAGTGAGTGTCCACCAAGCCTCAGGCTGCTGCTGCTACTGTGCGGGAGCCACCCCTGGGGTGCACGTGTGCATGCACGGGCGTATACTGCTGGAGCGTGTGGAGGCTGTTTGCTCGTCTGGTGGGCACTCCCATGCCCTGCCCAAGAGGCCGCCAGTCTGGTCTCAGGCCAGCATGCTTGCATGTCAGTGTCCAAGAGGTGCGAGTCTCAGGTAAGTCCCTGCCTCAGCCACACAGGGAGCCCTGGCATCTTGTGTTGGAGGCTATGCTGACCCTCCCCAGTGGCGCCCTCAGGGAGGGCAGAGCATGGTGTCCGGTGTTGGCCCTTAAACCCAAGTGTGGGTTGGAGCGTGTGAGAGCCCAGCAAGTGGGCACTCCGGGGCCTGCTCTCAGGGACCCAGCAGATACATCGGGGATGCACTGAGATGACTTCTGGGCTAAGTAGAACTTAATGGCCTCAAGGACAGCCTCCCTCTGTCCTGCCCAGACCCCTCAGAAGTAAGAGCCAGGCTCAGCTGCCCCTCTGTCCTGAACAGCCTCTTTCCTGGAAGTTGCCAGTGCTTCTGAGGAGTGGACGCAATCTTTCTGCAGACCTAGTTTTGTGGCGTGTGTGCCTGTGTGTCTTTCTCCCCCCACCACCACTTTTCATCTGAAATGTTATCTCCCCCCACCCTGTCCGTCCTTTGTGCCCCCCCCCAGGGGGAGAGGGGAGGCCCAGCCTCACCCCGGTGTAGTCAAGGTTATGGTGATAAATCCTGGGGCATTGTCACTTCTATTCGGAGTAAATTGGCTAGCCGCTTTCGGGCTGAAGGAAAGATAATTTGCTGTAGTATTTCAAATGGATTAGAAATGGATTTGAAGGGAAAGTTCATGCCTCCCATTACAAAGGCGAGGAAGAAGACTATCTTAAGGCACTGTTCCCTCCCTGGCCTTCATTATCCACGCTTAATACCTTTCCTATTTTCCAGCGTTAATGAAATTTCCTGGCGGCATGGGCCTGCCGGACGGATGGGAGAAGCCTTTAGATCTGCGGCTCCGTTGCAGAAAAGGAATTACAGAGCGGTGCCGTGAGGGCAGGCGCTCGCAGGGTCCTTGGCCCCGCTATTATCTCATTAATTCTATCCCCTCTTCTCTGTACAGTTCGTTTCTAAAGGCTGTCCTCTCCATTAGGGTGACAATTTACTGGAGTGCTGTGACACCCATGGCAGTGAAAAGCTACAAGGCCCCGCCCCGCACCCTGCCTTGCAGACTCAAAAGCCAGTAGGGCTGATGGAGAGGTGTGGGAAGGGGCAGAGGGCGAGCCCATGCAGCCCTTCCTGACCTCAGGCCTCCCCAGGGGCTGCCCACATCAGCTTCCTAAGTGCGAGTGCTCCGTGCAAGGCTCCTGGGCTTCTGGGAGAGCCGAGCAGTGGGCCGCCCTGTCCCCATCCCCTGGAGGCCTCAGCTCCACTGCTGCTCCCATACGTGGGTCCACAGGCATGTTGATCCTCGGCTGGGGATTGCCACCCCTCTGGTCTGCCCACATGGGTCCACAGATGTCCTGTAGCTACATTCAAAATCCAGGGAGTGGATTTAAGGAGGGAACAGAGGGGGACGGATGGGTTGCTCATGATTGTCTTTAAGAATAAGCATACGGAATGACCAAGAACTTGGCTCTGGACAGAGGGTGGAAAGCTGTCCTCTACAAAGTTGATCCTCCACCTACCGCCACCTGGCCCAGGCCCCTCGCTGGCTCCTGGCTTCCTCAAGGTGGGCCCTCTGTAGGCCTCATGGGCAGAGACTCATGTTACTGGGGAAACCCCTCCCTGTCCTGCTGGTGGGGCAGGGACCCTGTGGCTTCGTCACATTGCTCTTAGTGCCGGGCTCTGCCTATGCAGCTGCCCTTAGGGAGGGGCAGGTGGAGAACAGGTTCAGTACCTGCCCCAGGACACCTCTGGAGAGAGGCCTGGCGGGGTCCTCAGTTGGGACACATTTCTACAGATGAATTCTCACAGGGCTGGGCCTTGGATAGCGGTTGGGCACAGGTCTGGCTGCCTCCTGTCCCTCATGTTTTCTGGTGGCCAGGGACAAACAGCCATGCTTGGGAGAAGGGGGTGATTGGAAGGGTTGTTGTGAGGGCAGGACCTGCCTGGATCCCAGGTCAGGGCCCAAGAGGCAGAGATGTGACTGGCCTGGTGGGGAGGGGGGAAAATGGTATACCTAGGGACTCTGGGCAGTGAGACAGTTAGGGATTCTGGGTAGTGGGGGCCAGGGCAGTCCTAGGGGCCTGCCAGACCCCTGAGCTCAGTTTTGGACTCAGGATTTGGGATCAAGATGGACATCACTCATGTGGCACCCACCTTTGAGCCTCCAGAACCAGCAGGGCTCTGGTATGGGAGAAGACCTCTCGTGTCATGGCCGCCACTCCTCGTGACTCAGACCCTAGTGCAAGGCCAGGGTATAGGGCCGGTGCCACGGGGTTCCGAGTCTGATGGGAACCTGGAGCTTAGGGTCTGGCCCACTTTACCCTGCCCTGGAAGGGCACAGGGGTCCAGCAGGTGCTTCTCTCCTGCCCAGACAGAACCCTGGGGGAACCACAGGAACGTGTGATGGGTGCCCTGTGGCTGGACTCCTTCCCTCTAAGACCAGTGTTCGTAAACTTGAATTTTAATTAAGGGAAACTGGGTCAAGTGCCTTCCGCGGCCTGCCTGCCTGTTTGTACTTACACTGCAGCTTTGGTCCCCAGAGTGCGCGCTCACTTCGCTCACATTATCTCTCTAATGGGGCCACAGAGGCCACCAGCTAGTGAGAGTTACCCCAGCTTGCAGATTGGGAGACCAAGGTCCACAGAGACAGTGGTGCTGAGCTCAGGGGACAGCAGTAGTCTGAGAACAGGGCTGCTGCACCCCTCAGCACCCACATTTCTGAGTGGCTTCCCATGGGTGGCAGGGTGAGCTGTGTGCGAGTGCTGTGACCAGGCCATCTACAACTCACCTGTCCAGCCAAGCAAGTGAGACCCACCTGCTGTTCCTCAGCAGCCCCAGTCTGAGATCACTCCTCCTTGGCCTGGATGACTGGGGAAGGGTCTCCTACAGCTGCAGAACCGGGCACTCCCCACGGGGAGCATTTTTCATAGCTTGCTTCCCTCAGGAACTGGGCTGTGGGCTGCAGGACAGTGAGGGCCGGTGGGAAGGGCATAGCCCTGCACATTCCTGGGTTGACTGACCTTCCCTCCTACTTGAGCTGTCCCCTTGACTGCTCCCTGAGCTGATGTGAAGGCTGCCTTGGACTCTGTTGATAGATAGCTGTGCCCGGATAGAAAGTTTGAGGCCAGCCTTAGCAACTTAGCGAGGCCCTCAGCAACTTAGACTATGTCTCAAAAAAGCGGGGGCTGGGGATGTAGCTCAGTGGTTAAAAAAAAAAAAATACAACTGTGCCCATGGCCCAGACTTGCCACAGGGTGCCACATAACCAGTCGATGGTCATGTTGTGTCCCAAGCAGAGCCTGAGCACATATAGAATCTAGGCTTCATTTGTGGAAACACCTCACTTTTGAAATGCTTCCTGAGTCAACTGGTCTCTGTGCCAGGCCCCTGGGCTCACCTGGCTGCTGGGCACTGAGTCCTCTCCTCGGGGAGAGCCTGCTCCTGTCACAGCTGGGCAGAGGCTGGTGGGCAGCTGCAGAAGCCTTCTCTCAGAGTGGCGTCATCACAGCCTGTCCCCATCTTGGTCTGCGCTCTGGTTTCCCTTGGGGAATGCGGGGCGTCTGGCAGGATGGGGCTAGGAAGGGAGTAGGGCGGCCACTGGGACTGGAGGTCCTTCTAGCCCACATCTCTCCTCCTGGCCTGCGCTCCGCTCATCCTGTGGCTGCTCCGGGACTCTTGAGCCCGTGGCCTCCAGGGAACTCTTTCCCCAGATGGCTGACCTGATTGGGTCTGCCAGCTGCCCCACAGGCCCTGGTGCAGGGCTCTCTCAGGGAGAGGGACAAGGAAGGGAAGGACAAGTGGCACTCCTACCTCTGGGACAGGTCTGAGAAAGGGGGCCACCAGCCTTGGCAGAGACTTCAGTGATGCCCTCTACAGGTGACAAGTGACCAGGCCATTCCCTGCATCCCATCAAGATGTAGGTACCGCCAGGCGAGGTGGCGCACTCCTGTAATCCCAGTGGCTTGGGAGACTGAGGCAAGAGTATTGCAAGTTCAAAGCCAGCCTCAGCAAAAACGAGGTGCTAAGCAACTCAGCGAGACCCTGTCTCTAAATAAAATACAACATAGGGCTGGGGACGAGGCTCAGTGGTCGAGTGCCCCTGGGTTCAATCCCTGGTACAAAAAAAAAAAAGATGATGTCAGTACCCTGGCAACTGTCCTCCCTGAAGTTTGGGGGCCAGCCCAGGCTAACTGTGTCCAAGGGAAGGGCCTTCCCCATCGCCCCGAGGGGACCCCCAGGTTCCCAGCCAGGTTGGGCAACACCACCTTCTGTTACTTCTTGTCAGAATTCCCTGCTGCCACAAAAGCACCCCTGCAAAGGGGCAGGGGACAGAGGCCTGGTGGCTGGACTCCTGGCCCAGGACTGCCCTGACTGCAGGTTGTCCCAAGCAGCAAGTGCTCTAGGCTGGCCTGGCCTCCCTGACCTTGGCGTTAACCACCAAAGCTCCAAGCCTTCCTGGGTCCCATCTGATGGGCATTTTGCTGTCTCTGCAGGTCCCTGGTGCTGAACCGCCTGCGTCCTACTGTGACCGGGGGCGGGAAAGCCCCACCTGGGTCCCCTCGGTGGGGCAAAGGCTACCGCTGCATTGGAGGAGTGATGTACAAGGTGTCTGCCAACAAGCTGTCTAAGACCTCCAGCCGGCCAGGTGATGGGGGCAGCAGGGCCATCTTGGGCACTGGGGAGCATGTGATGGGGTACTGCAGGCCAGCTTGTCTGTGAAGGCCTCGACCGGCTCCAGCCGCCTCCCTCAGGCCTGGAGCTCACGGTGCTCCCCAGGGGAGCACAGCCCAGCTGGACGAGCTCTCCTCTTGTATATGTGCCAGCCTGGGTAGGCCAATGGGACAGCATGGCAGGGAGGGCGCCGGGAGGCCTGCAGCCCTGCCATCCCCTGGGAAGGCCAGCGCCTGCCTCTTCGCTTGGCCGAGCAGCCTCTGGTTTTCCGTGAGCTTTGCTCATGGACAGGAGATAAGCCAGGTGTAGGGAGCATGCCTGGGCGGGCGAGCACCTGGGGCCTCATGCCTCTTTGCCAACTGTCACAGGTCCAAACCTCCCTGCCCAGGAGACGGGCACGAGAAAGGAAGTGCTCTGGACATGATCATTGCATAAATTAGCTAGAGGAATGTTTTGGTTTCAGTTTTACCTCCTCGTCCATCAAAAAAAGGATTATAGGCCAGCCTTGGGACCCAACAGCCCCACCTACCCACCAGAGGGGCTGGGGGAAGAAGAGGCTCATCCCAGGAGGTAGTGGGGTGCCCGAGGCATCATCTGCAGCGGGCAAGGCAGATATAAGGGAGCCTTCCTCCCAGAAGCTGGCCCCCCTGGCTGCTCCCACCCGACTGTGTTCCCAGGTCCTGTCTCCAGGGCCCAGGGGCTTCCAAGCTGCCGGTTTTCTAGCCAGGATGTACTGGGGAGGTGGTTCCTGACAGTGGCACTTGGGCTGGGAAGAGCCAGGTAAATTCTCCAGAGGGCTTGGCTCTGCTCTGCCCCTGGGCCAGTTCTCTTCTGTCCGCACCTATGGTCTCCCCTCTGCCTCACTCTTCCAGTGTTCAGTGACCAGGTCTTCTGACCACCAAGGGGATGCTGCCTTGGGTTGGGGTACAGGTCCTCTCATCACCCTGAGTGCCCACTCTGGTCACTTCTGACCCCAGAGCCATGCCTGCTGAAGGAGTGACCACTGCCTACTGGCAGCAGCATTTCTGGCCCTGCTGCAGTCTCTGTGCCCGGACCCTGCTGTGTAGCCATTGCCGGACCAGAACATTCACACCAGGGCTCAGTGGTTCCTCTGGACTCTCCTCAGGGTCCTGACCTCAGGCCCCAGCACCATCCTGTGGCTGGGTCCTGCTGCCCACATGTGCTGCACTGGGTATGACTGTGGGGTGGGGCTGTACCCACTGTCCTGACTCCTCACATCCCCTCATGGCCACAGAAGATGGCTGGGAGAGATCTGAAGGCCAGCAGGGGAGTGGTGTCCTTTACTGAAGCCAGGCTGCTGCCCTGAGGCTGCTGGAGCTTGGGAGGGGGGGCTGGGCTGTCACTGCTCACTGGGAAGCTGCCTCCTGCTCCCAGGACCCCCGGGCCAAACGCTGAGCTCGCAGAATCCACCTTCCCACTTACACACATGGTAGAGCCCTGGTGGCCACAGAGCTCCTGACATCACCAGGCCGTGGACAGTCTGTCCCGGGCACCCTTGCCCACTGGCCTCCGCTCTGGCTTGGCACTCTTCTGTCCTGGCAGCCACCCAGAGCCTGCCACTGTGGAGCCCAGCTGTATGAGGGAGCATCAGGAGAGAGCAGGGCGGGTCCCAGGGCCTCCTCCCTGCAGGCTGCAGGTGGTGGGGTTGGGGGTCATGGCCTTCCACCAAGCAGGGCTGTGATTGTTCATGTCCTGCAGACCAGCCTTGGCAGCCACTGGGGGCAGTCCTGGGCTTGGCCTTCCCTCCTGGGAAGGGGTGTGGGGCAAACGGGCAGAGGCGGCCTGACAAAGCCACACCCTTCCAAGGAGGTAGTAGACAGGGAAGTAGCGGGCGAACGGGGCAGCTCCAGCTGCTTGGACCCCTGCATGGCCCCCACTTCACTGTGAGGAGGAAGGTGGATGGTCCCCAGCTGTGGGCTGCTGCTGACTGGCCCACTTAGATGAATTATAATTAAAGAAATAAATTTCCTCCCCTGGTGTCAGCGAAACTTTGACTTCAACAAGAAAGTGTAGCCCTCCTTGGAGGGAGAGGGATTCCTTCTCCCCTCTCAGCTGCCCTTTTGGGTCCACAAGAATAGTCAGCATCTGCTCCTGGTTGCCCTGGGTTGCTTTAGCTAATCCCCTCCCTCCCAGGCCCACCTTCCACCCAAAGGGCACAACCCTTAGACTCCTTCCCACATACTTTGGCCTGGAACCTGTATCCTCAGCTGACTGGTTTATACTGGGGCCACCAAGAGCCTGGCCGTCTCTGCAGTGGGTACAAGTGCCAGGTCTGTCGGTAGAGCTGCTGGGCTCAGGCTCCGCTCACGCTGGAGGCAGGGCTGGCCCTGGGATTGTTCTGAGCTCCCAGACCTGTGGGTCAAGTGAGGCAGAAGCAGGTTGTGGTCCCCACCTGGTTGCTGACTACCTGTCGAGTGTTCTGGGCAAGTGGGCTTTCTGTGGCTCCTCATCTGTGCCCTTCTCACTCCTCCTAGGTGCCACGAGGTCATAGAAGGGCACATGAGGGAGGCCCTGCCAACTGCTGCCCCTAGAGTCAAAAGCTGCTGGGTCACTGAGGCCCTGCCCCTTGCTGCCTGTCCCTGGGGCGCCCTCTGCTGTTTTGGTCTTCTTCCCAGGCCTGCAGGTGCTCTCAGCTGAGCAGGCCCCGGCTTGGGTAGCTCCTCCTCTGACTTCCTGGGAATGGACAGGCCAGCCTGGAAGTGGGCCTGGGGATGGCATGTGAGCTCGTCCCTGTGCTCCCCAGGCTGTGCAGGGCTAGTGAGAGCCAGGGGTACTGAGGACCTGGTGCCCAGTGGTTCCCTTGGAGGGCCCATGGGCAGGAGGCAGGAAGCAGATGGGGGCACCAGGCATGGGTGGTGCTGGAGGGAGCCAGTGTCTATTTTGGGAAACACCAGGAAAGTGAAGTTCTCTAGAATGTGCAGCAGAGGCAGCACCTCGCGCTCCCGAGGTCGGGGCTCGCCTGAGTTTCCTGCACCTCCCGTTGCCTGTTTTAAGCTACTTCTGCTTTATGTGCATTTTTAACACTGTGCAGCATTTGGAAAGGTGCCTCCCGTTCTTGTCAAAACTCCCACTATGAGCCCCACACTGGCGTGCTTTTAAGAGCAGAAAGTGGAAAGAGGGAAAAATTGCTCCCCTCAGGTCCTGACAGGCAGCACGTGACACCACCGTGTCCCTGACTGGGAGCAGATGGCGCCAGTGTCACCAGCAGCCTGGGTAACAGCCCAGGAAACAAGAGCTCACTGACAGGCTATCAAATTGCACGTCATTCACTGTGAAGGCTGGCAGGTGCAAGGGTGCGTCTGTGCCACCTGGACAGGCATCCACTGCCACCCTATGGACAGGTGTCCCCAGCTGGGAACGTAGGCCACCCTGGGCATCCCCACCCCACCCCACCCCCACACCCCTTTGTCTTTGTTGATCCCCACCCCCGTCCCCTCATCCCTCCTTGTGCCCTCATCCCCCTCCCCCCAGGCATCATTTCCAGCCCCACTCACCCAGCTGTCCGGGCTTGGGCCACCCTGCAGCAGAACTCCTCCCTCCCACTGGGGATCTTGCCGCTTAACCCTGGAGATGCCCTTTCTGAACTTGGGGATGCTGAGGCTGAGGGTAGGAGACCCACTGGTCTGAGGGGCCACAGAGCTCCAGCAGTGCAGTGCCAAGTCTTCCCTCAGGGTCTCTGCAACTCAGAGCAGCAGGCAGCCTTCGCCTGGTGGGCACCGTCTGTGCTTGACTTGCTCCCGTTGTCTCTGGAGGGCCAGGGTGTGACAGCACCACCCAACATGGCCCAGGGAACTCCAAGGGCTGAGCCACTAACTCCTGGATGCCAAGGAAGGAGGGTCTGAGGTCCAGCCAGTGGGGTGTGAAGGAGTTGAGGTTTGGAGAGGCCATGGGTCATGCCAGAACCTGGAGAGAGGGGCCACACTGGAGATGGGCTCACAGATGCCCTGGGGGAGGGGAGCTCTGAAGCATCGTCCCCCAGACCTGCACTGGCAGTCTGCCGTGAGAGCAGCGACTAGCTGAGTGAGTCTAGGCACCCTGGAACATCCCTTTTAAAAACCCCAGATGGTTTTGTCATCACCTCAGGCCCTCAGAATTTCTGCATGATGTCACTTCTGCCTCTTAGCACCGTATTCATTTCAGCAGCTGCCCTGTAGGAAATGGGATCTGGTCTGGGAAGGGTCATGTGCGTATTTGAGGAACCCAGGGAAACAGTCTGAGTAGGCCCTGCCCTGCCTGGGCCTCCCCGCAATCCTGGGACTGGCCTGTGCCTTTAAAAGGCAGGCCCCTCCTTTTGCAGGCCCCCTTCCTCACTGACCGCTGTCCCCCACGTTGGTCCCTTTAATTCTAAGGGGACCCCAATTCATGTCACTGCTATCCTCACACCATATTAATGATCTCAGAAAAGCTAAGCCGATCTGATCTTCAGTCTCATCTTCATGCTTGGGATTTTAGGGACTATCTGGAAAGGTACCTCCAAAATTGCAAGTGATAAGCCACACTTGCACCTGGGCCAGACCCCTGAGTGTGAGGCTCCCACCAAACCATCTGCATTTCCAAAGCCAGGCCACATGTGGTCCACATTCACTGCCTTGTCTAAGCAAACCCCTCCCGGTCCTACTCTGGGGCTCCGGCAGGAGGAGGTACCCCCACCAGTGTCAAAGCCTGGAAAGGGCCTCGGCCTGAGGACCTGCCCCATGAGACGCCTGGCTGCCAGGGTGGGCTTGTAGGTGGGCGGAAACCAGCTGGTGGGACAGCCCATCCAGCCTCAGATGTGGCTTGGGAAACCCAGCTGGCTGCAGGCCACTCACTTATCCCTGAGCAGTCCAGTCCCCTGAAGGGGGCTGCCTGGCATGCCAGCTCTGAGGGCACCAACAGGAGCCCTGCCTGGCCCCAACCATGACGCTGTGTCCCTAGAGGGCGGGGCTGTGGGCAGCCTTGTGCAGGAGGCAGCCGTGCTGGAGCCCAGGGCTGAGGGCCCTGGGGGGGCGTTGGCCAGGTGGAACTGTGGAAAGAGGATGGGCTGGGCTGCGGCCTGATGGGACCCTCTCCTCTCCCTGCTACAGGCCGGATGGATCCTACCAGCAGCTGTAGCCGCTCCCATGCCAGGTGCGTCCCCCGGGGGCTGGGCAGGTGGGGCTCACTGCTCATCCTTGGGCTCATGAACCTCTCGCTGTCCACAGCCGAGCGATCCAGCGCAGCTTGGCCATCATCCGCCAGGCGAGGCAGAAGAGAGAGAAGAGGAAGGAGTACTGCATGTACTACAACCGTTTTGGCAGGTGCAACCATGGCGAGCGCTGCCCCTACATCCACGACCCTGAGAAGGTGGCCGTGTGCACCAGGTGCCCAGCTGGCTTCGCCCCGGGTGAGGGAGTCTGTGTGGGGTCTTGCCTCCATCCCTGGCAGCCTCCTCCAACTCCCCTGTCCTGTGCTACCACAGGTTTGTCCGGGGAACCTGCAAGAAGACAGATGGGACCTGTCCCTTTTCCCACCATGTGTCCAAAGAGAAGGTAAGTGCTATTGCTTGTCCCCTGAGCTTTGGCCAGCAGCCCTGCCCCTGTGGGCCTTTCATCCCCATGTGTGGGCGGTGCCATGGCTGCCTTTTAGCTGAAGTAGCTAACTGGGGACTTTGGGGGGGTCCCACGCACCACACATAGGGGTCGGTCTTCCCTGTCCCTCCAGCACCCAGCCTTGCCAGATGTGTAGGCCCCCCAGTGATGCCAGGCTTCTCTCCATCACCGCCTCATGCACAGGAGAAGGTGGCCCTGTGCGTGCCCCTGGAGTACAGGACCAAGACCTCACCTGCCTCCTCAGGCCTGGATTTGGCTAGTAGTGGGCATTTTGAGAGTTCTCCTGGAGGCTGCAGGTTCCCCTAGGCAGAGGTGGGGACAGGAGAGCCGCCACAGGGAACTGGGAAGGGACCACCTATAGGGCGGCCACGGCTGGAAGGGTTCGGGTGTTCTGGCCTGCATGACTCCATAGACTTATTCAAGCCAGGGAGGGTCCCCTACCTGGGGGATTGAGAGTGCTGAGGTCTGTGATTCATGCTGGCTAAAGCTCCCAGAGCCTGGGGCAGGAGGCCAGGGGGCCTTGCCCCATGCCGAGGCCTGCCCACAGGCCCTGGGAACCCAGCCTGGCCATGGGTGTGGGGAAGGGCTGGGTGTGGGGCTGCAGCTGAAGGAGGCGTGTGGGCAAGGCCCACTGCTGCTCCGACAGCTTTTCCCCTTGAGGAGCTTGGAGAGAATCAGCATTTTTCTCCCTAATCGCGCTTCGAAACTCTGTCGTGAGCAATTTGGAAATTCACGTCGAGTTTCGGGTTCATTAAGCGCCAGCTCCAAAGCCGGTGCACACTCCACACTGTCTAATGTGTGGGCCCGCACCAGCGCCCTGAATTAATGTTATTGTTATTTGTGTGGACGTGGTAGGGTGCAAACAAGGTTAATTGAAATGAGAACGCAGTTTCCTCTTGGTAACGGCCCCGCTCTGACAGCCAGGAGGAGCTCCGTTTGGTGTAAGAGTTGGCTTTATTATCCCTTTTTATTAGAGCTAATTTGGGCTCTATATCAAAAACCACATTAAGGGAATTGTCTGCAGCCGCACCACCACCAGCCCCAAACAGGGCCCCCAGCCCCTCTCCCCTCTGCGGCTGCAGTTAAAAGACAATTAAAAATAAACTCTTGCTCAGTAAATCACCCTTTGTTTCTTTGATTTCTCCCTCCTTCCCCCTTAGCTCCAGGGCTGCTGCCCAGGCCTTTTCTTCCCTTCTTGGCCCTCAGACAGGTTCCTGCCCCTACCTTATATTTCACCCTAGAAAAGTGACATTTTACAGCTTCCGGGTGCCCCAGAACCATGGAGGGCTCCCAGCCCACCGCTGGCCTCGGTGCTGAGCACCTTGGGCAAGCCAGGACTCTCAGCGTGGGCAAGGAGGTGACTCCCTGGGGGTGAGAGTGGGGGGTCTGACCCAGGGCCTCAGGAGGGGGTCCCAGGGAAGTCCTGCTGAGGCCTTCGGGTGGGCTCCATACTGGACCAGGGCAAGTGACACCACTGCACTCCCCCAGATGTCCCAGGAAGGAGCTGGTGTCTGGCCCACAAGGGGAGCAGGGAGTCTCCCGGAAGTTTTAGAAACATGCCCTGCTTCCTTCCCTGGGTGACCCCACCCAGCTCCTGTTCACGAAGGCCTCAGTTTTGCCCCCTGGGAGAGGGGTGGACTGCATTTCTTACCTCTCCCAACCCAGATGGTGATAACAAGCAGCAGCCCCGGCCAGAGGTCAGTGGGGCTGCGGCTCTGTGCTGGGGAAGGAAGAGGGAAAGTCAGGCTGGGCTCATGAACCTCTGTGCAGCCTGCCAGGGGCATCCATGCTGCCTATACTGGGCCCTCAGATCTCCCCTGAGCCCCTCCTGTTGCCAGGCTTCAGTGCCACCCTGTGGTCAGGGCCAGACCAAGCCTGCTCCAAGACACATGTCAGGTGGCTAGAGAATCTCCAGCTTGATGCCTGGCCCTAAGGCTCTCCTGTGTGAACACTGGCCCCGTGGGCTGTGACTCCCGGGCATCTGGGCCATGGTTAGTGGCTGGAAGTCCAGACTGCCGTCTTGCCCTGGACATTGAGGGATTTGGGGGATAGTATACCTGCCCCAAGACCCCTCAGGCTGACAGAGTGAGGGTAGATGTGCTTCTGGGTCACCTAGGAAGGGGGGTCTGACTGTGAGCAAGCAGCTCCCTTGCCCAGCAGGATGCATCCACTTCACCCCTGTGGGGGCCACAGTGGGACCCTGGACAGGGCCTCTGCGTCCTTGTGCTGCTGCCTGTAGAGCGGCTGTGGTTGCTAGGGCGTGGGTCGCTGGCCCTCACCGTCTGCCCTCCCTCCCGCAGATGCCTGTGTGCTCCTACTTTCTGAAGGGGATCTGCAGCAACAGTGACTGCCCCTATAGCCACGTTTACGTGTCTCGGAAGGCCGAGGTCTGCAGCGACTTCCTCAAAGGTTACTGCCCGCTGGGTGCCAAGGTGAGGCCCGCAGGCAGGCATGGGCAGCCTCCCACAGCCCTGACCTTACGTCTCCCTCACAGGCAACTCTGGCCCAGTGACTTGCCAGGGGCTTGTGCAGTGTGAGCCGAGGGAAAGTGAGGCCAGAGTACCCAGGTCCCCCAGGGCAGCAGGGTGTACAGTGGGTTCACCCCACTGCATGGTGGGCCAGGGATGCAATGGCTGGGGAGGCAAAACCCCTGAGAGACTGCTGTGGGGTGAAGGGGGGTGAAGGTCAGGGTTGGAAGAGCTGTGGGTAGGTATGGAGCCGTGGCCATCTTAGGGTGGCAGGTGTTGGTAGCCCACACCCACATTGCCTGGGATGGAAGGGCTGGGCAGAGCCGAGGGGTTGTCCAGAGGGGCAGGTGAGCCTAGGGTGAGCTGAGGCTGGACCTACTGGAAGTAGGTGGGCAGTGCCAGGTGGGCAGTTAGTGAACTGCTCTCAGGGGACTGGCTTGCCTTGTCCCAGCCCCTCACAGTTGCCTGTCTGGCTGCCAGGGCAGCTCAGTCTCGCCTGTGGCTGAGCACCAGTGGGGAACTTCCTTGGCCGAGCAAGCGGGGCCTTTCCCTCATTCACTAGGATCCTTCCTGATTCAGGGGGCTGGCCAGAGGTCCCTGCAGGCCTGACCCACTGGGACCCTTTTCCCCAGCCTCCCACAAGACCTGGGCCAGGGGCCATAGAGAGAACTCTTCAGTCCCTGGCACCCTGAGAGCATCTGTGTTGCACAACCCAGGGGCCTTATGGCAAGGCCCACTCCTGCCCCTTCTAGCTGCAAAGCCTGGGAACATGGTCCTGTGGTGGGCCTGCAGATTGGAGGGAGGACCCCCAATGAAGGTGAGGTCACCAAGCACCAGGGTTGTGTGAGTGCTGGGCCACGCCCCCCCCAGAGCTGGAAAGGCCCAGGTGGCACGCACAGGAGCACCTCCCTCACTGGCTGCACTCGAGAGGACCCACATAGGAGCTCTCCAACACCTGCCCTGCCTCCCTAGAGGTCTGACACCCGCTTCCAGGGAAGACCTGAGACAGTGGGTCCCTGGAGCCAGCCCCGACTCCTGCTGCTGCACTGCCTGCTCACAACATGGGCCCTAACGTGGAGCTGGGGGTCACCTTGATGGGCACCTGGGCACTGGGCAGGGAAACCCTCCAGGCCCTGGTCCAGGTAGGGGGGCAGGACCCATGGAGGCAACAGACAATTATTGTAAAATATTCCAATTTAAATGAAAGTATCAAAGCGATATTTAAGTTCTGCTTCTATTAGTGGAAGTGCTTACTGTGTACGTTTCTGCGCGTCAGGCTGCGTCCTGCCACATGATGGATAGCAGCTTGTGATTACATAGGGGAAAGCGCTGAGCAGGCCAGATCCAGCAGCAGGGAGGCAGCAGCCTGGACCTCGAAGGGTTAATTTTATTCTCTAAATAATAGGGAAAATGCTGAGTCGTCACCTTGCGCCTGGAGTGCGAGTCCTCAGTGGGCCCCAGAGAGCTTGCGATATTCCACTGAATCAAGTGGAATTGTTAACCTTGCTTCGTGAAGCCATGCTTGTTAAAGAGGTGCACTCCCTTCTCTCCTGAATAATTCAGGCTGGGAGTAAATCTATGCTCCTTCCCTTTCTCATGGCCAGGCTCAGAAGTCAGTTTCCTCCAGACAGACAGCCCCAGGCCAGCTGTCCCCACCCTCCTGGACTTTAGGACAGATTGGTCATGCAGGCCAGTTGTCTTGCATGCCTCTCACCCTGGGGGTCTGACATGACCTCTGCCTAGAGCAGGGAGTGGCAGGTGTGGGCTGTGTTCCCTTTGCCTCCTGGCAGTAGTCACAGGGGCTAGCCTTGACTGCTGGATAGATATGAGGCCAGGAGGCTCTCTGCCTGTCTCCTCCTGGTTTTGCACATTATGTGGGAATCTTGAAGCCCTTGATGTTTCCGGTCGCTGAATTCATTTTCCATCTTTCCTCCCACAAACTCTGTGAGCCGGTGCCCTGCGTGGAAGAGCACCCTTGTCTGCCTCTCCATTCTTCTGTGTGTCTGCATGCACTTTTAACTCATCGCTCCCGTTGCTCCCGTTTGGCTGCCCGAGGCCTTTGCTGCTGGCTCCTGTCCCACGTGCAGCCCCGGAGTGTCTAGAGCTCTTCCCTCATTTCTGGTCTCACAGAAAGCTCCAGCTCTGGAATGGCCACTTGCCCAAGAGTCTTGGTTCCTTTGGGGCTTGTTTAAAACGGGCGTTCAGGTGTTGGATGTGGCAGAGCGCCCTGTCGCCAGCCCGTGCGCAGAGCTGGGGATGCAGGTGTGCGTGTGGGCAGCTGTCCTTCTCAGGGTGTGTGTGTGTTCTGCTCAGCCTGCTTCACCATGCCTGCCAGTGGCCAGACCCACCTCCATGGCCTGGCAAGTGCTGGGCTTCAGCTCCCGTAGTCTGCCCACTCTGGTGCTCCTGGAACCCCGCCCTTACCCTTCTGCTCTAAGCAGAGGTCACATCAGCTCCTCCAAGGGCCACTCAGAGTACCTGCTGTTCTGATGCAGTGGTCCCATGGCCACACATCACCCTCGCCAGGTGTCCTTTGTTCAGTCAAAAATCCTTATTTTTTCTGTGGGGCGTAGACCTGGCGTGGTGTCGACCTGGCGTGGTATTCTTGGCTTGCAGGCTGTGGGTCTGTGCAGGGCCTGCCCCACCCACGCTCTCCGAGAGCCTCTGCCTCTGCTTCTGCTGGCTTCACTGGCCATGGCAAGCAAGGCAGTGTGGTGACAGGTCCTGCCACCCTCCAGGGCTGTTTCCTTTTTGTAAATTAGAAGGCCATTGTGGTAAAGGGGCCACACCCCTGCATGCTCACTGGGGTTAGTTAGTTGTTAATTGGCAAGTCAGCGGGGATCATACTCAGTGCTCCTCTTCTCCCCAAACTACTTCTCCCTGATTGTGGTGACCCTAAAAGAATAATAAAGTACTTTTTTTTTGAGACAGAATTTACATACCATGTAATTCACACATTTAAGTGTAGAAACCCGTTTCGGTGGGTTCTGTGTTCCTTACTGCTTCTATATACAGTGCTCAGGACTGAGCCCAGGGCTCAGACACAACAGGCAGCACTCGAATGTGGAGCTGGGTTGCAGGCCCCCACACCGTTAACTTTTTTTTTTTTTTTTGACTAGAGATTGAACCCAGGGATGCTTAACCACCAAGCCGTGTCCCCAGTCCTTTTTTATATTCTATTAGGGTCTCACTGAGTTGCTGAGGCTGGGTCTGAACTTGCGATCCTTCTGCCTCAGCCTCCTGGGATTGCAGGCTTGCCCCATGGCATTTAGCAACATTGTTGACTTTTTAAAAACTGTGCTACAGCCCGTGTGGTGGCTCACACCTGTAATCCTAGCTACTCAGAAGGTTGAGAAAGGAAGATCAAAAGTTCAAAGCCAGCCTCTCAGGGACTTGGCAAGACCCTGCCTCAAAATGAATTTTTAAAAAGTCTGGGGTGCAGCTCAGCGGTAGAGCACTTGCCTAGCATGTGGGAGGCCCTGGGTTCAATCTCTAAGACCACCAAAAAAAAATTTTTTGGTGCAATATGTATATAACAAAGTTTACGATCTTCACCATCTTTAGTGGACAACTCAGTGGCATGGATTTTTTTTTCATAGCCATGGCAGCTCCTCCAAGGGCCACTCAGAGTACCTGCTGTTCTGATGCAGTGGTGCCATCCATCGTTCCACGCCCCTGGGCCTCTGGAGACACAGTCAGCTGCGTACCCAGTCCTGCCCCAAAGCCAGAGGAGCTGGGAGCTGGCAGAGAGGCAGGGGCATCAGGGTCCAGCTCCAGCTCACGGGCTTGGGGGACACGCACCTCTGCTCCCAAGGGCACTGGGGGGGAACCACGCTGTGGCCTAGTTCAGCCCTGGGCTGCAGGCCCCACTTGGGTCAGCCACGGCTCTAGGCTGCTCATGTTCATCGTGGGTCATTACAGCAGCTGGGTCACAAGAAGCCCAGGTTCTCAGCCCAGCTCAGCCAGGCTGCCCGGGTGGAGGTTTGAGGAGGCAGTGTTTGGGGCACACCCAGCCCCCAGAGGGGCCCAGGGAAGAGGGGGCATAGAGAATGCTTACCATCGATGGACACCGAGGCTCCTAGACCACAGCTGCCCGATACTGGACCTTTCAGAGGCCACTTACCACACTGGCCTGAAGTTGCAGGATGAGAACTCAGGAATGGAGGGCAGGGGAGAGGGTCAGGTGCCATTTCTAACCAAGAGGACAAAGAGCATATTTTGGTTGATTCTAGAAAAGCAGTCCAGAGGCTGAGGTCCCAGAGAAGACCAGGACAGAAGGGAGCTTTGATCAGGAAACCTGGTCTCAGGTCTTCTGCCATGGTCCAGGCTTCTGACAGGATGGAAAGTTGAGGAGCCCTGAGTTCTGGGCCTGGGGTCCCTGGCTCCCTCACACATGCCCGCAGAGGAGAGGCAGGGCAACAGCTGTGCTGGCGGGGGCGCCTCCCTGGGCATGCCTGCCACTGCACCCCTCCAACAGGCAGGAGCCTGCCAGGCATGGCAGTGGAGCCCCCCATGGGGCAGCTGACTCCCAAGCAGAGCTTTAGACAGAAAGGCTCCCAGCACCCCAGTGCCCTGGGGGCCTGTGGTCACACAGTGAAGCTGAAGCCTGCACCAATGCCCCCCACAGCCAGCTGAGCCTGGGGCAGGGCGGGACCCAGAGGTATTGTCCTCGCGGCTCCTCACAGGACTCTGCAGAATGAGAGGCTGAGGACAGTGCCGCAGCGCCCCCAGAGCCAGGAGGAGGCAGGAGCTGCTCTGGGGGCGCCAGGTGTGGGAGGCAGCCCTGGTGGCCAGCTGAGTGAGGCCATCATGCTGGGCTGGCCAGCTGGCACAGGAGAGCAGGTGGGGCAGGCAGCCCGTGCCTGCGGAAGGTCTCTGCACAGTGTGGTGCAGCCATCACTGCTATCAGATGTTTCCAGAACTTTCTCATCACTCCAAGCAGGAACACTGTGAAATGTTAAGCA